GCAGCAGTCTAAGAATCATTGTGCCATCACGTTCTATAGAAGTGTATAGATGTGAGGATGCATTCCATCTGTGCAGAGGAGGAGACATGCGTCAATGATCGTAGATATCGTTGTAATATTTTTTTTTTGCACCTAGACACAAACGAGCAATTAACCCTTGCAGTGCAGGGGTACCCCCCACTGTAAGAGTCATTAAGTTTTTCCCGAGTTCTTCTTTAACCCAGGAAAATAAACATTAGTTTGCATTTGAATAAGGTTTTTAGGAGGAGTGATAGGATTTATGGTTCTAATGAGTTGAAAATTTAGGGATATTAAAAGGACAGGGTCATGAATGGTCAGAGTACAATTCACATTTGCCATTGAAGTCCCAAGCCAGGTTTTTGGCACTGAAGGGTAATGTATTGACATACTTAAGTAGGGCTGCAACAACTAAATCGACTAAGTCGTTTATAATAGATGATGAAAAACGTCAAAGTTTCCCATCATCGATTAGTTGACATTTGATTAGTTGTCCTGATTGCGGCTTGCCTCACACTGCTTCTCATGCCGCTTCTCCTCCCCGCCTCACTCAGCTCTCAGACCCGCTTGCCACTGCCAGACCCGCAATTTGCGAGGGGGCGAGTGGAATTTTTGAGCCCTGGCTGGTGGTATTCTGCATTGCGCTGTATAATGTATTATTGCTGGGATTTGTAGTCCTCTATAGCCGGTGCCATTCTGCATTGATTGCTGTATACATTTTACAGTTTCCATTTCACTATATTGCACACCATACTTTTTTTTAATTTTACTTCCAACGCTCCAAGCTTGCTCCACAATACAAACTAGTAGTCCATCACTGAAACCATTTTTTTTTTATCCGATCAAACTTAATAATTGGCTAACTAATCGATTTTGAAAATAATTGTTAGCTGCAGCCCTTTACTTAAGACAATGTAGCCATTCTTGGGAATGATATCTGCCATAGCATTGGATCCATCAGTCTTGAAAGTCCTTGAAAGTAAAGACTTTTTTTTATCGGTAGAGAGCCTCTGACAAAATGGCTATGTGTGCTTTTACAAACCAGGCCACACCAGTTAAAATCTTGTGTTTTCAATGTAATAACTTCAAAGATTGTTTTCCATCTCTAAACGTTCAAATGATTGTTTGAGTGACACCTGTTTGCATTTACTGCATTTTTTACTGGAAAATGTATTGTGTTGCAATGGACTTAGACTGGAGAATGTAATGAACTAATTTATTTGTCCATGAAAATGAGAACAGAAAAGTACATAGTCACCTATAATCATCACATTATTGCCACAACGTCAGTAAATTGCTTAGCGAAGGTGGGATGAATTGGTTAAGTGATGTATAGATGTATATGTAACAAGAAAAGATGAACTATGATGACTAAACTCACAAACACGCACACAATGAATAGAATACTATCAGGTTTTGAATAGCTTCATTTTATTTGTACCTAGCACATACAATGAAGATTCACATAAATGTTTATGGGGCCATACTTGTAATGAAATATATTGTTAAATCATGTGTGTACATCATAGATATGTATAAGCGTATACACAGTCTACTGAACCATTTTAACAAACCAAGGAGGGACAGTGGGATCTATGTTGGTAGAAAGCTTTCGTAAGCGTCAGCAATGAACATGAGATTTAAAGCATTTCTGTCATGATTGATCAAACCTCAGAAAGAAAATTACAGAAATGTATGTACTGAAATACTGCACAAATGCGTCTATTCTGTAATACTTCATTAACATGTTATGTGTTTGTACTTTCTCTCCACTAATGTCTTTATTTTGCTGCTTAAAAAGGCTATTTTTTTATATCTGCTGCAGTGATGAAAAGTGTTAGCAGAGATCTTCCTGCGTGGTGGTCTATTTCTGTTCTGTAAAACGTCAAGGCCAAGAGTTCTGTTCAAGACACAATCAGTTTACTTCAGTTGTTGTTTATTAACACAAAAAGGAATCTTTCATAAATATATGCCCATGTATAGCTAGCTTAAAAAAATGTATTAAGAAACCATGTAAGCTTTCATTGCAGAACTCTTCTTCTTAAAATGCCAGTTGTCTGGATGCAGTACTAATCCATTCATTTGTTTGCATGCTTGTTACAGGTGAGTGGCATAAAAGTATAAGCCAGAGACAGCCAAGCAATTCTGATTCTTATAAGAAGAAGCTATGTCTGCCCCCCCCCATATTTCCCTTAGTACGCGTTCTCTTTAAAGAAAACCCATACAAAAGGTAAATGTATAGGCTGCCATTACAGACCAATATAGTAAAAATGCTAGTTGCCTGGCTCAGCATTTAGTCCCAAATCCAGAACAGGGATGTAAGAAGTGAAGTCAAACACCTGATCTGCATTCTTCCTGACAAAGCACTGAAACAAGAGGACTGGCATGAGGTATGGACATAGTATTTTTGTCAGGCGATCCACAACAGCAGCTTACATTTCTTAGTACATCTGCCTATCCACCTAAAGATTTTTAAAGTGAACCTGTGCTAAAGTATTAAACATATTCACATAATTGCATTGTGGAGAAATTCGTCTTCAAAGTTCACAATAGAAGCACTAACATATCAGATATTTTCCTCTTACTTTCTATTGCTACAGATCATTTTGGCAGCCCACGAGCTCTCTAATGTAAACACATGGCCGGTGTTTCTAAACTGTTAAAATCCATCTGAAATCAGACTCTAAAGTCTTTGAAGTAATTCTCAAAGATTCTCAATTGCAATACAGTACAAGAAACTGGAAAGGCCAAATGTGGCGTGTTTAAAAAAACAAAAAAAAAACGCTTTAAAAAAAAAACAAAAACAATTCTGGTTAGGAATATGAAATAATTGAATGCCCATAATCTGGGAACATGTTCACTTTAAGGTACTTTTCTTTCTAAAGGGTCATTCTTTATTTTCCAGAGAAATGCAATCACTTTAAAATAATTGCTACAGACTTTCCTTACCTAAAAATTCAGTTTATTCCTAGATCCTAAACTACGCCAGGATGGTAGAGGTGCATGTGGGGATCAAAGTGCCTATAGTCTACATTTGTTTACACACTTCCTCCTACAACACCATGTTCTGTTTTGGCCTTGACCACTGTTTATTAGCTCTCTATTCATAACTGAAAATACCTTTTAACTTTTCATCTCTGCTTGATAGCACTGTGCACCTGAGCAATAAATAAAGAATGGTTATGCATATAAAACCTATGTTGAAAAATACAGAAGGATGTTAAAAAAATTATTATATAATCAGGAGAAAAAAAAAAGCAGTTCAGTGCATTAAAGTTAAGGTGCAAACTACCCCTAAATATTCAGTAGTAACACACAGTGATGTACTCCTTAATTATTTTCTTCAGTTTTGTTCCCTAAAGGGGAACGTGGATGGCTTATTATATACAGTAGGAAGTGAAACTAATCAATCCATATGTACACACACAATTATCCAGTTACTGAGTTTTTTGGTTCAAGTATGTCATAAATCGCATAAATTTACAATATATATCAAATATTGATGGCATAAAAAAATCCTCACTAGAATCCTGCAAGAAATGATATAAAATTACACTTAAAGGCACCATATGTAAAATTCATGTTGTTCCAGCAGCATGTGTTATTTAGATCACTTTCATAAAGCTTCTTTGCAGAATTATAATAAAATTCAAGTGCTTTCAATTCCTCATTATACATCAGTCTCCAATATCTTTTCATGCCACACAATAGTCCGGGCAGTTAACAATCCCTGTGACACATTAAATAGAGGTCATCCCTTTAACACACTTGATATTTGGACTGAATTAACCTCAACAAAATCCTTTAACAACAGACCCCAGTTACTGACATTGAATTATTCAAACCTATTCTTTTTTTATTCGAACTGTATTATTTCATATGTCACAGCAGGTGATTTAACGATCATGTGAAAAACCTAAAAGGAAAACTGTTATTGCAATAAGAATGATGTACGGAAATCCAACTGACATTATGGAAATCAATTAACATCTGTGATGTGGTTAATATAAAAAGTGAAGAAGTACAAAAAATAAAGTTATCATCGTGTATGTGTTTACAATGCTCCCATCAAACCTGAGCTTGCTTGCACCAGCATTAAACTGTGCATTTTCTATGAGGCCAGAAGGAGGATTTCACTCACATCTAATATTCAACAAAGAACAACATTTTTTGGAAACCTATTTTTTGCAACTGGGGAGAAAAAAAAAAAAAAGCGTATTCCACCCCAGATAAAACATTATTAGGTTACAACAGATTCTTTACTTGAAAAATGAAGGCTTAGGTAGGCACTGTAGAAATGAATTACAAATTTACAATGTGCCACCTGTATGCTCTGCATAGCGCCAACAAATGTTCTAAAATGGAAACCTGGAGGCAGGAGGCTACCGCTGCCGACTCCTGAAATACTAGTTCCCTGGTTGTCATGCTCAACCACTGGATTTAGTGCTTGCAAAGCCACCAATTTTAAAGTGACACTAAACTCAGGAGTAAAACCTTAAAAATGCATTCAGGTACCTTACACATTAACAGAAATGTAGCTTATTTGTGTATCACCTAGCTGTAGATCGTCACATAATTTCTGTGATGGACTATCATGGGAGCAAGTCTGAAGCGGTGACTACTTTACTACACACACAGGGACCATGGGGAACAAAATTTGCTATAAAACACTCTGTACTGGGTCAGTGGAGAATTGCAGCTTAATTGGATTTTTCCTGCAGGATTACAACCTGAGAAGACACTAGCAAAGTCAAAGTTGCAAACTACATCAAGGTTCCAGCTGTGAGTTCATTATTTGCAACCTTAACAAAAAGCTTCCTGCCTTCATCAGGCATTTTGACAGAATGAAAAAAATATAGCAAAGTAGAAACAGGATGTGCAATAAATGCAACATAAAGCCAGAAAAAATATTTTCAAATGATATGCCAGTACATTGGAACTTGATAAGTTATTAATAACTCCACCTTGCACTGCCTTATGTAATATGCCATATCATCTTAAGTCATGTACTTCTGTCTTGAAGCATAACATAGACATTGGGAATGATTAAATTAAAGCTAGTTTTGCAATGATAATTCACCCCCAAAACAATGTAGCTGTTAAAACTCAGATTAACTAATAAAATTTAGAACAAGAGATACAGATCACTAGAAGGCAATCACTATCACATATCCAAGAAGCAGTATACCTTTTTACATCTATTTAGTATAGTCCTTAAAATATAATACATATCTCCTTAAAAATTTTAGCGGCTGCCTGCTTTGTATTAATTTGAAAAAAATACACCAATGTTCATAAATCCATCCATATTGCTTGAGAACTATAATAATGTTTACAGATTGTTTTTTCCAAGTGTGTAGTTTTGGGCACTACACAAATTGTATGGTTCAGGCAGCCAGCATAAGCTATAAATGATATTTCTGGTATCCAGGAAATCAGTCTTGGTACTTTAAATGCCAGGCACTTGCAGATTAAACAACATGTGGATTCAGATGATAAACAGACAGGTGAGTTCATGAATGCAATGGATAGCTGTGATGGTTGTCTATGGGTTGTTGTCAAAGATGGATGTCAAAGTGTTGTCATGAGTTTGTCTTGATACAGAATGCTTTGAATGCCTCCCAAATTCTTCTGGTTTTGGTCCTGAATGTACCTTGTGTTTCTACCATCTCCACTGGAGCCGGCTTTCCATAATACCCTGTCGTCATGAGAAGATGGCCTGTACCATTTGCATAGTGATTGGTTAGTGACAAATAAATGATTCACAACAAAAACATACAGTTTGAATGAATGACCAGCAACACCTTTGCAAGCAGCTTTAAAAAAGTCAAACAAAAACAGGTGTAACACGTTTCTGCACTCTCCTTCTACACTGTTGTACATAAATAGCCATGTAAACCGGCTATAGCTGGGGGAGAGGAAAAAAGAACACAGAACATAATGTATGCAGAAGCATGCAAATGGCAGGCAACTAATGTTATGCTTATCCACTAGGTATTGTGAAAAAATAGCCATTGACATTGAGCCGCTCTGATGGATCAGTAGTCAAAGCTTTGCAGACGCAAAATATATTCGTAAATGCTTTGCCTGCCACATTTAAAGACATGTAAATGTGTACAACAAACACAGTGAGTCCCTACAACTCTTAAAACAATGACAGGGTGTTGCCATGGGGCAGAAAGGTTTTAGCTAGCAGGCAGCCTGTTAATGAATTTCAAATCATGTTCTTGCCTGGCAACAATTTAACTGCAACCCAAGTAATTCACATACATTTTAGAAATAACCTACCAACAGAAACTATAAAAAGAAATTCTAGTTCGGATCACAAGACTGCAGAGAAACATTATGAGACTGCAGTGTGGGTCAAACATGTAAAATTAGTAAACATTCATGTAAGTCTGACCACACATGAATAAAACTTGTGTAATGACACAAGTTTTCACACCAATTGCGGTGCGTTCCAGAGTGGTAGCTGCTGGAACACAACGCAGTCGTTCACAAAACTGCCCCCTGTGTTCTGGGACGGGAGGGGGCGTGGCGGTTGGTTGAAGTCAATAGAGCAAGCAGCATTTTTTTGCATTTGCAGTGGAATGGAATGCAGGCAATGTCTTGCCATGCGTCCGATCGCACTGCGGGCGGGGGGCATGGCTGTGGTGCCATTGACTTTAATGCAGAAAGATCTGTAGTTTGTTCTCCAAAATGTGTGGAACGACCTACCTGCAGAGTTCCTTCAAAAACTGTGTGCTGTGTGCCTAGAAAAATTGATGCCGTTTTGAAGGCAAAGTATAGTCACACCAAATATTGGATTTTATTTTTCGTTTGTTCACTCACTTTTTGTAAATTGATAAAACAATACAAATATAGATTTTTTTAAAGCATTCTTACTTTACAGCATTTTTCCCACCTGCCTAAAACTTTTGCACAGTACTTGTACATATATTATTTTATAGCCAATATAATAAATCACCAACCTGATATTTGGAGATGTGTGAGGATGCCAGTGCTGTTGATTTTGTTGTATATTATGATGATATTGTTGCTGCAAAAGAGATTGATCACATCTTAAATACAGAGAACAATAATGTATATTTAGATCAGTACAAACTTTATTAAAGAACCTGTATGTACCATCTTAAAATACCTTGTTCAGTCTCAGTGCTACACAATGAACGTTTATACCAAACCAAATTTCTGGAACCTAACTGTCCAACCTAGCTGACAAATTGAAACAATTAAACAAAAATAAAAAATTCTGTCCCTGATCATCAGAACAACCAAATGATATCTGGCTACTCCATGATATCAGGTAGGCAGTATATGCCTACCCATGCAGGCAATTAAGCAGTATGAAATAAGAGGCTAGATTTACTAAAGGGAAAAACAAGGTATAACTGTTTTTCTATACAAGAATGTAAAGATTCAGCTGGTCCGTTTGTCTGCCAGCCGACAACACTATGGAATCCTACAGCACAGTGCATTCACCCACAGGCATCCATAGCTTCAGGGCTTTGGTGGCTGGCACAAAGTTCATGTCCACCAGCTGCAAGAACATCTGAAAGGGTATAGAGCAATAGCTGTGCATTTTAGTAGAAAATGTCTGTAAGAAGTATATGGGTCCTTTCCAACCATACAAATCTCCAAAGTCCTGAAAGCACACCTTACTGGAATTCCCATAAGCAGAGGTGGGTGCTCGCAGTGACTGCGGATGGCGCCGCATCAGGCAAAGTTCGTTGTAAAGAAATGTCACCAGCACACCAGCATGACAAACACGTCAATTTTAGTGAATCTTCATTTTTTTTATTTGTCAGTAGTCACTCAAAGTAGAATCACTTTCAAAGTAGAATCGATTCTACTTTGAGTGACTTCTGACAAATAAAAAAATGAAGATTCACTAAAATTGACGTGTTTGTCATGCGGGTGTGCTGGTGACATTTATTTACAACAAACTTTCCCACCATACTGCACATAAAAACCCACTGTAATTCATCAAAAAGCACAAGTTTACATGCATTTTCATGCGTGTTTCACCCTTCCAGGAAACAGGTTCAACAGATGACATTAAAATAATAGCTTTTTTTCTTTCCTTCAGCTGCTGTGCATTTACATGTGCTCATTTGTGTTAATATGCATGTATGCGGCATTTGAACACAATCTCCTCAACACTGTTGTGAGAATGAGGCACATCAAAAACCATTGTTTTCTATATGCCCATGCAGTGACTTGCATTGATCCACATTGCATTATGGAAAAATGCACGTCACTGCAGATGGTGTGACTGAGCTCTAAAAGCAATGGTGAAGCAAAATGTAACGGGTATTTTGTTGTGCAGCTTTTTCTTCCACTTTAAGAGCATAGGACATACCTAGGTACAACCTAGAGTCCTTGCTGTCACACAGATGTAGCTGCCATTGGTTTGACAGCTAAGGTCTAATTTGTGTGACATAGTTGCTGTTGTCAGCTCTTTCAGGACTGGTCAGCTCAAACAGGTGTTTCAGCACCAGTTCTTGTTAAAATGTAAACAATTGAAATATCATAGTTAGCTGCAGCTATAAGAAGAAACTCATCTTTTCTGCCATCATTAATTTCTTGCCAAATGAATAAGTCAATAGCTGGGAGGTAAAAATGGCTCAATAAAAAATGACCCGTACTTCAGGATATGGAGGAGCTTGTGAAAGCCTTGATGCTTGATGTCTGGCCTACCCGTGTCACACTGGGACAGGTAGAGCACTCAGTCATGTTTAAGCTCCAGTCAGGGAGTACACACGGTTACCTTTCTCCAGCCCTGGCAACTAAACAAATAATCTGGATACTGGAGGCAAGTACACAAAGCTGGGGAGGGTGGCATTAAAGTGTAACTTTTGCATTGCCCTGCACAAGAAAAAAAACAAAGCATCTCCTTCATATACATTGTTTGAAATAAAGGTAGGTTCATTTTACTGCTTCAACTAATTTTATACTTTACTACAACATTAACAATTTTACACTTCAACTAATTTAACCCTTTAGTAGATCAGGACCGATATGTTTATCCTCACACCAAACATAGCATCTTAGAGTACTAACAAATTATTTATCGATCTTGGTTGTAGCTTAGTTATATCATCCTGCACATTGCTAAAGTTGCAGTTACACCGTCTTCAGTCACAGTCTTCAGTTACACCGGTCCACAGCCCACCATCTCTTTTATCATGGATGGCCATTGGTAGGCTTACTTCAAATGGCCACTGCCAGATATGACTTAACCCAGCATTTAAAAAGTAAAGTATCAAGATTAAAGACTTTAACCTATACACATACAGCACAGCAATGAATAAAATGAACTAGGATCACACTAATCCAGCACGTTATTAATCTCACGTGCCCCACTCAATATGGCCGCCGCTTGAGTGGGGCAACTCAGAATAATAAGGTGCTGGATTAGTGTGATCCATGTTCATTTTATTACTTCATTGCTGTGCTGTATGTGTATAGGCCAATGCCTTGGAGTTTGGTCCACGCTTGTGGGCACACTGACCAGCTGGGAAGATTGTAGAAGAAAGGTTCGATGTTAATTGGCAGGCTGCACAGTGATGTTCCATTTACATGTAAGTGTAACCTATTTAAAAATGTATAGGGCAGAACAAGTTTCTTGGGCAAACTCACCGGCCCAAGTGGCTCTGTCAGCAAACGAAGGGAAGGGGGGAGGAGTCACGGACATCAACTTCACCGGACTCCTCCCCCCTTTCCTTCGTTAGCCGTCACGGATATCGACGTCACCGGACTCCCCCGGAAGCCGGCGGAGAGGTGAGTATTTTCATTAGCGATTAAAAGCATTTTAATCGAATTATATATATATATATATATATACACACATACATACATATATACATACATACATATATACAAACACTGTGTGTATGTATATATATATATTTTTGTTTTAGATCTACAAAAAATATTCCATAATGTCAAAATGAGAAAAACCTACACAATTTCCAAATTCACAAATAAAAAATATTAGTCTTATTTGTATACATATTGACCACCTATGTATTTTATAAAATTTACCTGGTCATTTTGCATTTCAGGTGTAGTTTTAACACTGCAAGACAGAAAAAAAAAGCTAATTAACAGACTTGTTTAACAAAAACAAAAAAGTTTAAACATTAGATGCCTTATATCAGTATATCAGAATGATATTGGCAATGCTCCACAGGAACTTATTACAAGAAAATGCTGTGTTCCTCATACTACATTAAAAGGATATTACCACTACATTAGAGAATACAAAATAACGCAAAACACAATTTGGAACTAAAAAGCAAAAAACATTTAAAACTGCAACTTGTGGCAAAAGAAAAAAAAAAGCAGAATCTCAACACCTCAATATTATGTTCCACATATATCCCGTCTTAATATCGCTCTAAATATACAGTTCAGCATCCTTTTTCTGCTCTGGAAACGAATAATGGTGCTCACTTAACTCTCCACCCTAAGCTGCTAAGTGGACAAGAAAGCATCAGCACACTGTACTGGGACTACAGTGCAATGTCCTAGAGTTAGATTTTTCCACACTGTTAGCTAGGGCTGCAACTAATGATTATTTTCATGATCGATTTGCTGGCCGATTTTTTCGATTAATCGGATAATTTTTTTAAATAAATAGCATCCTATATTTCAAATAAAATACACAAATGCAATGGTACAAATATAACGTTTACTTCAGAATAAAGCTGCATGCACAATTTTTTGCAATCGCACTGCACTAGAACGCACAGCATTGCGGTAGTGTGTGTGTTCCAGTGTGGGCGATCACACTGTGGGTAGGAGGTGTGTTCGGGTTGCCATTGAAATGAATGGCACTACAAAGCACCTCCCGCAGCAGACTATCAGGCTGACACCGAAAATGACTTTCCCACCTTTTTATAAAAAAAATACCTTAACCACATGGCGCTTGAATAGCTTCAGCCAGGGAATGACAGCTGCTATTGGCCATTTCAAATTGCAATAGCCAATAGCAGGCTAGCTATTGCACCCACCCACTGCTTGCTGTGCCCTCCTCCCATAATGAGGGTAGTTGACTAATAATTGATTATTATCCATTAATCGATTACTTGGATCCAGCCCTACTGCTAGCCCTTACTCACCCTATTAGTCTGACTCTTGTTGTGCAAGGGATTTTGATAAGCGAATATCAAGTATTAAAAAAGATTTTAGAATAACAGAGGAGTCTTCAGACCAGCAGTAATTAAATGGAATCTGAAAAGGATAACAATATGCAAGATTTGGGACACCCTAAGCATAGGGCTACACTTGCAATTAAATCACTTGTTACTGAGAAATGTAACTACTTCTTGCCTATTATCTCAGCAGTATATTAATTTGCATCTGGTGCAAATGAGGATACCACCAATAGGCAGTTAAATCTTTAATTAGCAGAGACATTTAATCACTTATGCAGCCCTAGCGTTATCCACTACTTGGTGAGTTAATGACCTTGAAAAAGAATGCAGGTCAGGTGTCCTGATACGTCACTGCTGTTCTGGGTCAGTGAGGCACTAAAAAAGCAAGGATAAGGATTAAGGTTGTGCCTTCAAATAAGAAACCAGTGGCTGACAATGCATAGGAAGGATTTATAGTGTGCATGACAATATCCATGTATGAATAGCTTTCTTTCCTTTTTACCTGTTCTCTGCTTTCAAACACCATAACTCCCACTCCAGAAGTCCAGTGAAAATCAGATTTGAAAGAAGAACCTTATTTCACACAGCGTTTTGTAATTACTGGCCTCTAGAACTTCTAAATATAGCATCCATGACAGCTAAAGTTTAAAGTGAACCTGTGATTTACACAAGCAGGGCAAAGCAACAGGTTTAACTTTAATGACACCCTTCACAGTAGCACATGCTAGCCTTCTAAAAGTCCTGTGTTGCTCTAGTTGGAGCGTACAGAAACTGTCTCTCCACCTCAATGGGACAGTGCTGGGCCTGTCACTAGCACTGTTACATGAGAGAAAGGAGCCCGAGTAACATGCTCCTCCATACTAAGAAGTACTATTTATATGCGGTTGATGAGGGGAGTAATAAAAGCAGCATGTTTGCTGTAAAAGTACCATCAACTGTTAGATTTTCATTCGAAAGTCCGTTCGCGTATGATTTTCGTTAGGCCACCTTTAGTTAAATATGGTTTTTCCTATGGTCAGATGAAGAAGATTGATGCCAGTTAGACAAGGACTACCCATGCTGTGCTATGCGGTCTCCAATCCTTCAGGTCACTACAAGTTACACCCCCTGTAGACTGAAGTGGGGATAAGCAGGGTTTTGAACAACCAGGGTTATGCATAGAATGGAGACAGATTTTTATCAGGCAGATACAATTGCAGGCTGAGAATTAAAGTAGTATTAAAGTCAAAAGGATTTTTAGCTATTTCAAATGCTGATGAAATCACTTACAATGGATGCTGCTTCCTGGTGTTTAAAAATTTGTGTTTCCTGCAGAATCAGCTGTTCTCCTGAGCACTGATCCCGACTTCCTGTTTTAGAGTGACTTCTTTCTCAAGCAGAGTGCTATGCAGTCCCCCTTGTGTGTGCTAATAACCTGTATGCGTCTCCACAAACACAGCAAATCAAGTTACTTCCCTACCCCCTATCCAAGCTAGTAAATGAACAGTTGCTGGAGTCCGCTCTGTCCCTTGTGATCTTGTACTAGACAGGAAGTTCAGGGAAGTGGAGCTGAGAGACGTGGAAGCAGCTGTTCAGAAACACAATGATTGTAAGTGATTAGGCAAAAATGTAAAGCAATTCTTTGCTGGGCAATGTATTTGCTTGATCTGGATTCATTTTTGAAAAAAAGTTTGAGAGTTCAATACTACTTTCTGAGATAAACTACAAAAAGGATTTACATCTCGATATCTTGGATAGGCCAATGGTATTGCCTGCTTTTCCTATGTAAATTGTCAAATTGATTAACTACTACTAGCTACACCAGAACCTGGATAAATGCGAACCTTCAGAGACATATTGAGAAATAAAATAAAAATCTGGTGGAAACTAAAGAAACAAGTGATGTATAGACAAACTAGATCAAAATGAAAAGGTGTATGGCTGGAATTCCAATAGGTAATAAAAAACACATTTGAGAAGAACTTAGAGTTAAGAATACCAATCAAGACAGAATGAGGGACAGACAGGAGGAAGAAATTAAAGGGGAAGATTACTTTAGTGCAAGTAGTGGATGGTCAACACAAGCATGGAAAAGGCTAATAAAAGCCGTTGTCACAATATACATAGATAAAGCCACAGAGTCTAAAAGTGAGTTTGACACAAACACCAGGAGTAATGATTAAAAGTAAAGAGGATTTAAGTATCGTAGTGAAGAAAAGACAAGCACGGGATGGGATGTAGGTGGGTATAAATACAAACAACAAAAGTGTGCACATATCAGAATGTATGGTAGAAGCTGCGGTGTGACAGAGAAGGAAGGGAGAGAATAGGCTCAGTGGTGAAGGAATGTTGCCCTTAGTGGTAAGGGCAGGACAGAGATTTTGGTATAGTGGAGAGACTGTGAGGGGAGGGCTGCCAAAGAGTGGGGTTGCAGAGTCGGAGGTTGTAGGCCTATACTAATTGCTTCATCCTGCGCAAATGAAGCAACCTCACGCCAGCTGTATTAGACAGAACCCAGGCGCCATCCCAGAGGACTTCAAGGAAGTAACATTTTCTAAAAATATTTCCCAATTAAAGTTTTGAATTCAGCTACCCAAACATAATTCATCGCTAACCAACTAACCAAATCTAATGTTTATCCGATACTTTTATCTGAACCTGAAATCTGCATTCCAACATGAAATTAAGAGAGGGGGGGGACCTTTACACTCAAAAATCAAATTCTCCAATGCATCCCTCCTCTATGTATGATGATTAATAACAACAGACATGTCCGGTGTAAAATGCTGTGATTTTGAAATACTTACACTTGCAGAACATTCACTTCCTGCTTTGAAAGGGCAAAATGACTTGTTTGACAGAGCAATGCAAACTGGGATTGCTTTTTCATCAGCAGAGCATTGCTGGGAAATCTCATCTGTAATCTCCGGAGATCTCAGGGAAAGGCATTTTCCTGCCCTGAGATGTGCACGGTCACATGTCTAGTCACATGTGCCAGAATCCAGGAAGTAAAAGGAGAGCTAGTGATCTGCCCTTAGTAAACATGGTAACTGCCAGAAGACTGGGGAAGAAAAGAGAAATACGTATGCAGAGAATACAAAGCCTGCAATTATCTTTAAGTATGTGTTTGTAGATTGTCACTACTAAACATGAATAAATGCGAGTTTGTTGTTATTTTAAAGATATGGTTAAATGTCCACTTTAAGAAGCTATGAACTGGAGGATTGGGAGATGAGTTAGGAATCTGTTCAGGTATGGCTTCGCAAAATAAAGTCACTGCCCGGAGAGGGAAGAGAGTTGCTCCAGCTAGCACAAACTAGGACTTAAATGAGCACTGTTAAAAGGACTGTAGAGAATATTCCAGGGGAATATTCTGCTTCATATAACAGGAAGAAGCCATGATCACATAGGAAGTTAAGCTGTCTTTGCACAGGAATTTTTCAGAAAGAAAAATAGAGGAAAGGTCTTTTCAGTAGAATAGGTCATAGAAGAGTCTATATCTGGATCAGCAGATTTAACTTGTCTAGGCAAACCTCATTTCTCTTTTTTTGTATATTTAAATCTTATAGGCAAGGCCAAGTGGATTGCATCAATCTAATTTCGACAATCTTGAGCATGCCAGATTTGCTAATCACCTGATTAAAAACAGATCTTAGAGGAGTAGACTGAGAAATTTGTGAATTGGAGTCAGAAATAAATGAAGCCCCAGGCATGCTAGAGAGTGAAGTGGCTATAGGGCTTGATTATGTGCTGCCGAAGAGGTAACAGTGGAAAGTTCTGAACATTTGCAAGCATACTGATTATTCATTGTACATAAAGGGACTTGAAATGGAGATTAAAGTTCTGGTAGCTATAGCAGAATCTGAGAGTCTGTGTTTAAACATTGGACACACAGCACCCAGGTCATGACACTAGGCTTGAAACAGCACTCTGCCACTAA